AAAACCAAACCCGAAAAGATTATACTCAACCCTGATAGTCTAACGGGCCTATCTCTTCTCATGTAGCTTGGGTACTTGGTGGTATAGACTCTCGAAACTTGCTGACTAGAACACATCTGTATCAGGTGATCACGCTATTTAAGTCTTTGTTGTTGTTGTTTTTTCTTTGAAATGCAGGCACGACTCCGTGCCAACAGTCCAGACTTCACTCTTACATTTTCATTTCTCTGCCTGTCTCTTCTTGTGACGTTTAGAGTTTTGCGGAGACATATTTAAATCTCCAATGCAGTAATTTTGCTTTCATGAAAAGACAGAGTTTTATAATTATTCAGGTTTGGCATTGGAAGCATAATGTTGGTATATACATTAACCCTACCCGTACGCCCTCGGGTCATTTTGTACCCCCGGGGTTGTATTCTTCACATTTTAGAATACTTCTAGTACGAAGATCTCTTTGAAACTTTCAGTATTTCTCAAAAAAATCATTTTGACAAACTGCTCTGCAAAGCGTACGGATAGGATTAACGAGTAAATTTCCTCTTCGGAAACTGGTGGCACAGAGTTCCCCACGTCGTATGATAGTAAAACACGAAGTACGGATAGGGTTGAAGTGGTCTCTTTGTTTCCATACAGACGTTTGAACGAGACATAAGGGGTTCCAGTTAATAGGTCACCACCGTGTTAGCTTTTTTTGAGTTTTTATAATTTCTATTTCTGTATCTGTGGACCCGTTATCAGTTTTTAAAAAAAATGCTGTCAAGGCATTTAAAATCCTTGACCTGTGTAAAAGCCAACACAAGATGGTATTGTTCACCCGGCAAGAGTCAAGAGGGTCTTCACAAGACAGACTCGTGAGGGTTAAGTGTCTTTCCTAACACTGTGTCATATCACAGCAGTATTTATGAGAACAGGGGGTCAAAAAAGCTAGAGTGTTACCCTAGTTTTGGCGTCGTCACTCTGACGCTGTTTCGTGGAGAGTGAGAGAGAGAGGGAGAGAGAGAGAGAGAGAGAGA